CAACTAGCACTTGAGAGTTTTCTAAATACATGGAACAAGGCAGTCAGCTCACTATAAATATATCTTTATATTACCATCGTATATATTTTTTGTACATAAATAATACCCAAGTTTAAATAGATAGTTTCTAATACCTAGTCCACGTATCCCATAGCTGATCATTTTTTTTATAACTCTTTAGAGTCGCTCCTTCGGCTTGTGGAGCAATGGCTTTTCGAGCCTATCTATATTCAATGTGCATCTTACAAACCACACAACCACAATAATTAACAGAGCAAGAAAAATATATGCTGATAGCGGTAACATCAAAGTGCTTTTCACAGCAGGAAGAGGCAAAGCCTCGGGACCAGGCCTTATCTGAGAATTCGATTCAATAAAAGCAGACATATTATCCTCACTAATTTCGCTAATACTAGTTTCATTACTTACCTTGGAGTTGGCCTCAGTATTATTTTTTGATAATTCGATAATCTCATCATTAGTATATGTCAATATATTACCATTGGTTTTTTCAGTTTGATCCATATTTTTTCTACGTATAAAATATTTACTGAGATCAGTACTACCCAAAGATATATTATCAGACTTAGTAATATTTTTTTTGTTATCTCCACCAACTATGGGTTTTGATATAGTCTCTGATTTCAGACACTCAAGCTCATTGATCTTTGATGAGACATAGTCTCGAGGCTTTGCCTCTTCTAATTCACTCTTTATTCAGCTATTTTTGATTTGAGGGACACGATCTTGGATTCTTTTTTCGATAAGTCATTTTGAATTGAAATTACATCTTTCTGGGCTGAAGACAACTTACTTTCCAATATCTTGATCATAGACTCGAGTGATTTGATTTTCTTGGATTTTGTAACATTCTCAGCTTTGAATTCAGCAATAAAAATATCCTTTTGTGCGTTATGAGAAATAAGATTAGTATTTTCATTTTGTAGTTGCTTATGTTCATTAATGACCTGCAAAGTGTGGGTGCGTAATTTTTGGATCTCAGTATTATTTCATAACGAATTCTGATTCCACCCCTTTCTTTCTTGATCAAATGCCTTCATTTGCTTTATGTATTTATCTTGCAATTTCTCACAAGCTTATTAATTTTGGCTTTGGACTTGATAGCGTCGTGTATTTTTTTTTCTAGCTCTTCTTTGCGTATACTACCAAGTCTATGGCCTTTAATATTTTGTAATGTATGTATATTAGCCAACATATTAGCATCTTGTGCTTGCTCTGCTAAATAATAGATAATATATAAAAATGAATAAGACACAAAAAGTAAAATATATCTCCAGTAAATATTATTTTTTTATATTTCTGTATATTTTTAAATATAATAAAACATTTCGAAACATTCTAAGATATTCTGGAATATTTGTATATTTTTTATTATATATCAACTACTATATGCATAACTAATATTTCAAAACATTTTGAAACTTTTTGAAACTTTTCTTTATATGTGATAATAAAAATATTTCTGCAAAGCAGAATATTTACGTGGTTGATATGGGACATATCTATAAAAAATATTATAGTGCTAATGCAACATTTCTTTCAGATGATGCGATTCAAGAAATTAAAAGATCAATAGGTATAATATCTGATGCAATAAATACAATGGCAAAAAAATATCGCATATCTCACTCTTGTGTTGTTGATTATATAGAAAATCGAGAACGCCGACAACAAATAAATTCTCAATTACAAATTGAAAGTGAGGTTTTATTGCAGAGCAAGTCCTTAGATAATTCTTTAAATCATAATTCTCTGAACCTACAACTGGAATCTACCACTCTCAATACAGAAATAAAAAAGAGAAAATCCAAATCTCAGACTAATTCTGTATTATATAATAATGAGCTCCACTCTCACATATCTGATTTAACACTTACTAATAACTCTATAGAAAAAATAAGTAGTGATAATTTGGATGCATTATATGAAAAAGAAGCCAGAAGAGATGAGAAAAATAAAGCAAATATGACTCGCCTATTAGCTACTACT